GTTGATAATCCGAACGGGAGAACTTGAAAAACGTAAGTCTGATTTTCAAACAGAAACCCAGTATATTTCTGGTGCTCATAACGGATAGCAATTTGCCAGTAAGAGGCTGATAAATCAACTGAACTAAGACATTGCCCTTCAGTAAAATTGTATAACAAATCCGCTGGATTTGGCGGCATAACGTGATCTTTCACCATGCGCATATTCAATTTCCTAGCATCAATACACACTCGAATTGACTCATCCTTTTTCTTTACAATGACTAAAGGGCTAATAAATTCAGTCTGACACGGGCGTATAACCCCCCAGTCTAACATCTCCCTAATTTGCCTCCTTACTTCATTTTTGTAAACATGAGGGATAGGAAATGGTTTACAAAAAAATGGCGACTCATCTGTCAATTTTATTTCATGTAAATAGCCACTGATTAGGCCTGGTTGGTCTGAAAATATTTCCCGATACTTAATCAAGAGCAAATATAACTTTTGTTTATATTCCTCAGTGAATAACTCTGATTCATCAACAACCCTACTGAGTTCCGCATCAGTATAAAGCTCGCGAACTGGTTTTCGCAAAACAACATTTTCTTCATCGACTATCTCACTAACTGTAATGTGAACCCCAGGATTCACCTCTCCTACAAAATCAATTCTCTTAAAAACCCCATTGAATACTGCATGTATCATGTTTTCATTGAAATTTATTATCACCCCATTATCACGCATCCAGTCACAGCCTAAAATTGCAGAACGTGATAGACCCGGAATAACTAGAAACGGATATTCACACGACAACTGACCTATTTTCAAACTTAAAAAAACCTGTTGATTAACTTTACTCGACTTCGATCCCAGTGCCCCCATCAGAGTGACACATTTCGCTGGGATCTTTGGTATATTCGAATTAACCGCCAATAACTCATTCAAAAATTGTTCGCTTATTCCAGTAATCTGGCTACCCGAATCTACTAAGCATCGTACCGATATAGATTCGATTTCTATTTCAATAGTTGGCACTAACGCCACAACATTCACTTTAGGATCAGATTCCTCAAGAAGATCTTCCACATCCGCATTAAATAAAGTTGCCACTGGGTTTACTCCCCCTCGAACGTTAATATTGTTAGAACGCCCCTCTACCTCTTGATTTTGCGACCTATCACCCGGTCTATTATTTTCAGATCGTCTATTAGCATTATTCTGTCTAAAATCACGCGACGGCACTGAGCCCGTTTGATGCGACTGACCTACACCCCCCTCAATGTCATCGATTCTTCTTAGATGCATTTCTATTTCTTCAATAGTTTTAAATCCCGAATTCACAATTCCTTTACGTATATCAGCCGAAAAATGATTCACAACTAACAAACACACCTCTTCATCTGTTATTGTATTCGACAAATATTTAGCTTCCCGTATCATTCTCAAGAAATAATCAGCTTTCAAACCTCTTTCATATGTACCAAATTTGATCTTTGCATACACTTCCCTCTCTTTTTCTATACCCCAATATCGACTCAAAAACGCTTGTTTGAAATCATCAAAAGACACGAATTCTTTTATTTCTCCCCAATCATGCGCAGAACCACGTAAACAATTCAAAGCAAGAAATACTTTCTTCTCTTGAGGTACGGCAGCTTCCTCCAACAATAAAGACAACTTTTTAATGAAAGCCACAGGATGCATACCGCCTGATGGTGTAAAAACTAAATTTTGACCCCCAAGGTCCTTCCATACTGAAATATAATTTCTACTCTCTACAGAGCCCCCTGAAGTCAACGGACGCCCCTGGTCCATCCCAGTTCCAGTATTCTTACTATTAGATACATCACTACTACCGACAACCCTGTTATCATTTTTCAACACTGAAGATAATACAGCCAAATTATTAGAAACTTCCATCATATTATTTTCAATAACCGTTGAAACATTTTTCAAGTTTGTGGTCAACGATCCATTCAATTGTTCAAAGGCTTTAGTGAGAGTTTTCAAAAATAACTGATCCTCAGATCCTGCATTTCTATCCTCCTGTCTCCTACTTTCTAAATCTTTCTCATCTAGAGATTGATTCTTCTTATCACTTTTACTCTTAGGCATTTTGACTGCAATAATAACAAAACAAACTGCCTAGTACCTATAACAGTATCGACCAATCAAGGAACAATATAAAAATCCACATAAAACTCAACAGTACCTGATATTATCAAAATATCAGTCATACACCTAGTCCAAGTACTTAGGTATCCACTAAACCGAAATAGTAAATTCACAAAATTGATTCCTTACTCCACAATAAATCTTATCTACGCCCCACGTTGGGCGCCAAATGTAACGAGCTGGGTTAGGGTTCTATAGATAATGTGGAGTAAGTAGTCAAAATGCAACTATTTATTATTATAATCAAATACAATCTGTGACAATTTGTCACACAACGGACATCCAAAATAACGCGAATCTATAAATCTACACACATGCAGACTGTACCACTTGTACCAGCAAAACTCATCAATAAAGTCAATGGAAATTTTTAAATTACTCACTGTTCATCCGGTACGTCGACGACTTACACACTTACGAAACAGGAATATCGTATTCTGTTTTTACAGAATGCCGTGAAACCAGCTATCATACATTCGTCGATGACTCTGATACCCTTGGTAGGCACATTTATGTATCAGTCGACCCAAACTGCCTTCGAATACACATACAAGACAATACCTTATATCGTGGGCTTCGTTGTATCGTCGGAAGCGATTGGAAGACGGTGTGCACTTCACAACGTCTCGCTCACGACTGCCGAGAGTGTCGAGTGCCGACTGTCCGCAGACCCTCCTCGCCTTCAGTCCTCACTCGCTGGTTTCGCGCGCATTCATCACACAAACGTACCGCCGTAACACACAACTCCACATTCCGCTGTTATAGGTACAGTCGGGTACAGTCACAAAAAGCTCACTATACAATAGTTGAAACGAAATAAGAGAACATTGTCAGTGGCGTGCTACATAGTTGACACCCTGTATGCATAGGCTGAATCTACCTTCAGTATAGAAGGTGTTTTTGAATTCTCTCATGTGAATAAATAATATTGCTGATGTTGAAATTACATCCTGAAAAACCTATATAATCATTGAAGAATAGATAAAAATAGTGTAGGTATATCATCTTCTGGTATCCGGAATGATAGCTGACAATAAGAACGGATGATTTCGTGAAAATAATGCAATGAATATATTTTAAGTTGATTCATCAATCATATATGATGATTTCGAGATTACGAAGCTATACAGAGTGATCCACGGTGGATGGCATATTAGAAGTATCTGGAGAACGAAAAGACAGAACATTCTGAAACTTGAGATGTCTCGATAATTGAACATTCTCTATACGTCTAAAATATTTTCATCGATACAGTGTTGCCACTTCTATCAGAAACAACTAGCAACTTTGTTATTTCGAATGGAGCACCCTGTATTTTATTGCATTTTTGGATTCTTCTTGAAGAGCTGATTTCATCAATGCATCACACTTGGGGTCTAGCAGGAATGATTACAGAGATATAGGGTGTTACAAATCGAGATTTTTCAATTTTAGGACTTTTTATGTCGAAACTATTCATTATCGATCGAAACGGACATCTATCTCAACTTTTGATTCACTATCTACTGGCATTTGATTGAAACAGATATAGAGGGTGATAAGACTTCTGAATCTTGAAGCACCCTGTATTTTTTTCAATTAAATTCCAGTAGATAGTGAATCAAAAGTGAGGATAGGAAAATGTAAGCCGTTTTGATCGATAATGAATAGTTTCGACACAAAAAAATACTAAAATTGAAAAATCACGATTTTGAACACCCTATATCACTGTAATCATTCCTGCTAGACCCCAAGTGTGATACATTGATGAAATCAGCTCTTCAGGAAGGATCTAAAAATATAATAGAATACAGGGTGTTTCATTTGAAATAACAAAGTTGCTAGTTGTTTCTGATAGAAGTGGCAACACTGTATCGATGAAAATATTTTAGACGGATAGAGAATGTTCAATTATCGAAGCATCCCAATTTTCAGAATGTTCTGTTTTCTCGTTCTCCATCAGATACTTCTAATAGGCCATCCACCGTGGATCACCCTGTATATATAGATTATTTATATCGAACCAGGTTGAAACATGAAATTGAATTAATCAAAGTTTCAATTTGTATCAATTTTATGCACAGAAAAATATTAAGTAAATATCTTGATAGATGGCTCCTTCGACGCACGTCTCTCGACAGCCTTCAAATAGTATCAGCTCAGAAATGTTTTGTAATGTCTCACTACAGTGGATTATTTCATAAACTGAATATTGATATAAGTATATCAGAGTCGTTTTATTCAACACTCAGATGCAGACAAGAAAGCACCGCTTCTCAGCGTGATAATACTCAATAAGTGTGTTTTCACATTAGAAAAATATCCGAAAAATATTCGCATCATAATAATATAATCAGTAAAAGCAAAAACGGAACAGATACAGTGTCAAAATAATCACCATATGATTGTAGAGTACACCACTTTGGTGTTGAATAAAACGAAGCGATCAAATTAGCACTAAGTACTCTATAGTATAGTTCTTGATTCTATGTAAAAACAAATGACACCCTATGATGGAGTTGAGAATATCAGTGTTAATTCTCACTGAAACAATGCTTCATCAGGAGTCTAGGGTTAGAGGACTAAAACTAGATAAGGGTAATCACAATAGATCTTCTAGGTCGCAGTGATCGAGAGATCTCCGAAGCTATACGACCGACCTAAAATCTACAATGTACAGGGTGATTGATTATATTTTACTCAATAGCTATCTCAGTTGATATCGGTCTTAGAGAAACAGTCAAATGGCCAAAAATTAAGTTATTTGTATGGGCATTCATAATCTATCACTTGAAAATGCAAAAAAGCATCGTGAGCCTGGAGAATATGCTTTTTTTGTCAGTTTTCGAAGAATTTGTGAACAATTTCTTTTTCGAAATTTTATTTAAATAAAACGTGCTTTCGTGTCACAACTCATTCTCATGATCAAATTGGTGATCCTTATTGGTACACACGAACTCCATAGAACGAATTCTAATCTTCCTCATCAAGTAATGAAAGAAGAAAAAAGAAATAACGAATCCAGCTACCTGGAAAAGAATATATATAGTTAACAACTGTCCGAAGAAGGAACATAATTATATACATGCTAATATGAAACAGTTAGATATTTTTTTATACGGAATATACAGGAGATCGAAAAGATGAGCCATTTTTTTCAGGAGAATGTAGAAAATTCATCGCAATGAACAGATTCGCAAAATATTACCTCAATAGAAATTGCATATATAACGGAGATATTATCAATTGAACATCATACATGTTTGAAAGAATTGCAATACGGTCCTGGCTGCATCAATCTCTGTTCGGTGATTATACATATATACCTATCTGTGCATTTTCAAACAATGAAGCACGTTTTCGAAAATAAGGAACTTGTTATACGACGCTATACATAGTGGAGTATACTACGGCCGTGCCAAAAATGCTATCTCGGAAACTAAGCGAGATAGAGGTATAGTTGCTTTGGAGAAAATGATCCCCATCGAATTTTGAGCAACTTTGGTTTTTGTGTGTGGTCTGTCTGTCTGTCTGTCTGTACTCTGTGTTAATCATAAATCGATATATCTCCGGAACCCTTTGACATATCGACTTGAAATTTTGCCATCTTATTGTACTCAAAACAATATTATGTCATTAAAATATGAAGGAAATCGGAAAACTCTAAGGTGGTTTTTCCGGGTTTTTTCGATTTTTCACCGGAAGTTCCTTGTAATCACTCTACAAATCGCAAAAGTGGTCCGATCGATTTCATTTTTTGTGAAAAAAACCTCTATCAGGAAGAGACGAAGCCTATTGAAATTGAGCAGGGTCGAAAAATTCCAAGTGGGTTTTTCAAGGAGATTTTCCGAAAAACACGGTTCGCTTTAAAACGACATATCTCGTGAACAAATAGACTAAATCCAAATTTGAGAAATGCACCGTATGCCTCTTTGATGACGCAACAAATTATCATTCAATCATTTTTTCGTGCATCCATCGGAAACTGGAAAAACAAATGAAAACCCAAACATCAAAATTTGAAATCCTTTTAATTCAATATATATCGAAAACAAATGAAAAAATCGAAAATTATCAAGAGTGCAATGTTATCCACTGGAACATTCCCTACAAATCATTTTCCATAATTTTTTCTGTAAACCCAATAGTACAGGAAATAAAGTGAAAAATATGAAAAAAAAAATTTTAACGACCCATAGGGTACTATGAAGATATATTGAAAAACATAGATTATCGATAGATGAAGCTCATCTACCTCCACTGAGGCATGGAATATTTTTTCATTTTGTTGATTGGAAGATGGAACAAAAGTGTTGAAAATTTTATTCTCAGATAATTCCAAATATCTCGAAAACAACTGAAAATATCTGAAAATGTTATAGAACCAAAATTATTCCTTTTGATAAAATCCACAAAAAATCCTCATAACATTTTTTTCTGAATTTAATAGTTCGGGAGATACGATGAAAAAACAAAAAAATTTACAAGTTCCTAGATAATCACTTGCCAATAGAAAACGAAACAAAAAACAAAAGAAGGTAAAAAAAGCACACTCGACTGTCTTGATTTTCCACAAAGAAGAAATATGTTGGCATTGTTTGAACTTTCTTTTGTTTCTGTTTTTTTAGTCCCTATTGGCAGTCGAGTGGGCTAGGTGCGTAGTTTGTGTGGAAAAACCAAGACAGTCGAGTAGACTGAGTACGTTGTTTGTGGTAAAAATCTCCAGTTCTCTGAACTTCCATAGCGTCGTATACACATCTTTGGTGCCCAATGATAGTTGCAATATAAAAATATGCTCATAATATGGTGCCATGGCCTCTACTTCCATCTAATCCATCTTACATGAGCAATGATAAAATATCATCTGCTTCTATAGCGTCGTATGAATTATCTGACCTCTATACTAATCTAATACCTAATGAAAACTACATCTATACTAATCTTCTACCTTTCAAAAACTACGTACCCCACTTGTTATACGACGCTATACATAGTGGAGTATACTACGGCCGTGCCAAAAATGCTATCTCGGAAACTAAGCGAGATAGAGGTATAGTTGCTTTGGAGAAAATGATCCCCATCGAATTTTGAGCAACTTTGGTTTTTGTGTGTGGTCTGTCTGTCTGTCTGTCTGTACTCTGTGTTAATCATAAATCGATATATCTCCGGAACCCTTTGACATATCGACTTGAAATTTTGCCATCTTATTGTACTCAAAACAATATTATGTCATTAAAATATGAAGGAAATCGGAAAACTCTAAGGTGGTTTTTCCGGGTTTTTTCGATTTTTCACCGGAAGTTCCTTGTAATCACTCTACAAATCGCAAAAGTGGTCCGATCGATTTCATTATTCGTGAAAAAAACCTCTATCAGGAAGAGACGAAGCCTATTGAAATTGAGCAGGGTCGGAAAATTCCAAGTGGGTTTTTCAAGGAGATTTTCCGAAAAACACGGTTCGCTTTAAAACGACATATCTCGTGAACAAATAGACTAAATCCAAATTTGAGAAATGCACCGTATGCCTCTTTGATGACGCAACAAATTATCATTCAATCATTTTTTCGTGCATCCATCGGAAACTGGAAAAACAAATGAAAACCCAAACATCAAAATTTGAAATCCTTTTAATTCAATATATATCGAAAACAAATGGAAAAATCGAAAATTATCAAGAGTGCAATGTTATCCACTGGAACATTCCCTACAAATCATTTTCCATAATTTTTTCTGTAAACCCAATAGTACAGGAAATAAAGTGAAAAATATGAAAAAAAAAAATTTAACGACCCATAGGGTACTATGAAGATATATTGAAAAACATAGATTATCGATAGATGAAGCTCATCTACCTCCACTGAGGCATGGAATATTTTTTCATTTTGTTGATTGGAAGATGGAACAAAAGTGTTGAAAATTTTATTCTCAGATAATTCCAAATATCTCGAAAACAACTGAAAATATCTGAAAATGTTATAAAACCAAAATCATTCCTTTTGATAGAATCTACAAAAAATCCTCTCAAAATTTTTCTCTGAATTCAATAGTTCAGGAAATACAATGAAAAAACTAAAAAAATTACAAGTTCCTAGATAATCACTTGCCAATAGAAAACGAAACAAAAAACAAAAGAAAGTAAAAAAAGCACACTCGACTGTCTTGATTTTTTCCCATAAACTACGTACCTAGCTCACTCTACTGTCTTAATTTTTGCCAATAAACTAGGTACGGGCTAAGTACGTAGTTTGTACGAAAAATCTAAAGTTCTCTGAACTTTCATAGCGTCGTATACACATCATTGGTGCCCAATGATAGTTTCAATATAAAAATATGCTCATGATATGGTGCTATGGCCTCAACTTCCATCCTACATGAGCAATGATAAAATATCATTAAACAATGCGGTTTGTAGGGAATTTTGGCAGTTGGCCCGCCTAATGGAAACCTATTACATTCATTATGACGTATAACGTTCAGTTCACTTAATAATTTTATTTAATTAAAAAAAGATAATCATACCGTATAGGATTTGAACTTTGGATCTCTGGGTTGGCAAGCCGACACGTTACCAAGTGGCTATGGGGGGTCCATTTTATCAACGTGCAAGTGTAGGTACGACTCAACTTGTCCCCCTGTTTTCGAGAGATATTTTTTGGAGGTCCATGAGTATGGATTTTCGACATATGGATGGGTATATGGATATTTGGGGGGTTCATTTTGCTTCATTGGGCCAATATGAGCAATTTAAATAAATATATCAGGCTTATGAATGAGTTTCAGTAAATATTTCTATGTTCTACATAGATTTGATTTTACGGTACTGCTAGTGTCCTCACTCGGATGTGAGTGGAAACTGTTTGCTATGCTTACCTTCTCCTATTACAGAGGTCTTTTTGAAGAATCCACTCGTATGTGTTACGCTTCAACCTAATTCCGCGAGGTGTCGCTACTGATACTGTTTTCAATATTTAATATGTTTTGCTAGTCTATACGGCCGTTTTTTGTGTTGCTAAAATATTCATCTTCACTATTATTTGAAGACCCTAACAATAAAATATGTTTGGTTCCTCTCATGGGCTATTATCAGAATTCAAAATCATTACCTATATTTGGCTTATGATGGGTAATATATGAGATATTTCTGAGAGTAATTCAGCTTGCATGATTATCAATTTTTCTCAAATAATATACATAGTCTGTTATATATTTCTTTTGAAGATTTGAATAATAATAATTATAATAATGAATAAGTTTATTCAAAAACTTTTTCAAAATATACATTGGAACAACAGATATTTATTTTGAATGAAGAATCCTACGAATCGTTTCCAAATGAGCAATATCTATTCAAAGTTGAATCAGATTAGAAAGTCAATGACAAAAGAGAATGTGGTTTGTACGATTAGTGAATGTCTGAACAATCACGAGAATATGGAAGGTAATATGAACAGTATATATAGAGAGAAATAACGTTCACAAATCGAGAACTACTATCAGAGTATCTATCTGAGTGTATAGTGTCAGCAGTAACAATCAAAGGTGAGTTATTCTTTATTAATAATATCATTTCTCCTATCATTTTCCTTGTTCCACTATTCCACATATACTATTGCACAGGACAAGTAAATTATATATCAAAAGAAAATAATTCCTCTGATATCAACAATTCCACAACCAAAAACCTCTAACAAAGAACCTCCGAAGTAAAACAAATAAATTCTATTATGTATGTGTTTTTTTTTATAGATGGATCTTAATGCAATGAACTCAATCTCTCTTCTAGAAACAGATAAGGCAGTTACAAAGCTGACAGATTTGGTTGTGGGTGAACCAAATACGATATACTCAGCTAAAATAGTGAATACTAAATATGGGGAGACGGTCATACTTGAACTAGAGAAAAACATAGTGTTCCTGCCCCAACGAGTAACCCAGGAGTACAAGCCAAATATTCGATACTTCACAGCGGGGAAGTATGCTGTAGTATTCAGGGGGACCAAGAACGTTGGGAAACCTCATCCTGCCACATA